TGATTTGTTTGTAGGCAGCCAAAAGGCAGTGAGTAGGTAGATATCAGGTCGATATTTTGATAGATCAGCACCTAGATATAGGTAGACGGTAGATAGGTAGAAAGGTGGTAGTTTGAAAAATAAATACGAGGCAATTGGATGTGAGTAGATGGGTAGATAGAACAGCGTATGGTAGATACAAAACACATTAAACAGATGTCAGAATGGTAAGTAGCTAGTAGACATGTAATCAGCCAGTAGATAGGCAGACAGCCAGTATCAGGACGTCAACACATATACAGCCAGAGAGGTAAACAGGTCATTCAACCGATAAAAAAAAAACTTTCACACCTGAACCCAAACAACTGACTGTCGGCCTCCCGGGACACACCTGGCACTGCACCTATATTATTAAATCATCAAATCTAAATATTATACGCAAAACTAATGGCGTATCAATCAAAATATATTAGTTATAGCGGCAAGTACAGGTACCAAAAAAAAAAAAAACATTGAAAATGTATATAATATTTTTTTTAGGAGAAACTAAATTAAATTGACGACATGCCAGGCTAAAATAACAATGTTGTGGGATAACAGGCTGGAAGATCAGAGACCCTGTGTGTGTGTGTGTGTGTGTGTGTGTGTGTGTGTGTGTGTGTGTGTGTGTGTGTGTGTGTGTGTGTGTGTGTGTGTGTGTGTGTGTGTGTGTTTACTAGTTGTGTTTTGCGGGGGTTGAGCTTTGCTCTTTGGGCCCGCCTCTCAACTGTCAATCAACTGTTTACTAACTACTTTTTTTTTTTTTTTTCCACACCACACACACACACACACCCCAGGAAGCAGCCCGTGACAGCTGACTAACTCCCAGGTACCTATTTACTGCTAGGTAACAGGGGCACTTAGGGTGGAAGAAACTTTGCCCATTTGTTTCTGCCTCGTGCGGGAATCGAACCCGCGCCACAGAATTACGAGTCCTGCGCGCTATCCACCAGGCCCCATGTGTGTGTGTGTGTGTGTGTGTGTGTGTGTGTGTGTGTGTGTGTGTGTGTGTGTGTGTGTGTGTGTGTGTGTGTGTGTGTGTGTGTGTGTGTGTGTGTGTGTGTGTGTGTGTGTGTGTGTGTGTGTGTGTATTGTCCCTCGCTTTACACGTTCATAAAGATTATATACACGATTAGGATTCATTTTTTTATACGTTCGGCGAGACAGTTTTTTTTCACTGGTATTGATTTCCCTGCCCCCCTTGTGTTTTCCCTAGAGCTGCGGGGGGAAAATAGGTCTGCGGAATACATTCTTGGTGTTATGTTGAACTTTTCAGTGGGACTTGGTCTTCCTGGGTCGTGGGACCTGAAGCAACTAGCTTGTTAGACCTGGCCTATCTGGCTTGCGTCACCTGGGCTATGTGGCTTGTGTCACCTGGCCTATCTGGCTTGCGTCACCTGACCTACCTGGCTTGCGTCACCTGGTCTATCTGGCTTGTGTCACCTGGCCTATCTGGCTTGCGTCACCTGGCCTACCTGGCTTGCGTCACCTGACCTACCTGGCTTGCGTCACCTGACCTACCTGGCTTGCGTCACCTGACCTACCTGGCTTGCGTCACCTGACCTACCTGGCTTGCGTCACCTGACCTACCTGGCTTTGGGAGTTATGTCCAACTAATAATTATTATTATAAGGTTCCTCGAGCAATGTTACACTCCCTCCAAATGGAGGGAGTGTAACATTCCGCCTCCCTCAGTGTGGAGTTAGTGGGAGGGAGGGACGGAGAGTGAAGGTGGAAAAGGAAAGGTGAGGGAATAGCTGGCAGAACAGGGGAAAAGGGACAGAATGAAAGAGAGGGAAGGGGAGAGAGAGAGAGAGAGCTTGGGAGTGAGAAAAGAGGTGAGAGTGATAGGGGAGTGCAAGGAACCTCCTAAGTTCGGTTGGGAACACCCAATTACTTTAAGAAAACTGAAGGAAATGCATAAAGTATACCCATTATAGGTGGTGGGGGACCCAACTCCGGCATCAAATACACCTCGTCCCCTACACCACACACACACACACACTACACCAACACTACATTATACATTATAAAGCCTACGAACCCGTTAGTATGACTGCCAGATTATATTTCCAGGGACGCTAGACTGACAACGTAGTCACATATATATGTGACCAAAGATTCCCTCGTCCCATCACACACTCTTGGTGCGAGATCTTCCAGTCACAAGAACAATGAACCCCAATCTGTAAATATACCTTCAGCCGACCTGATTCCAAGCGCTGGAGTGTCACCCTCTGCCACACACGTCCCTGGGGCCACGGTCCTCGCCAGCCGTGTCTGCATTAACCTAATTGTCTAATTGAAGTTGGGTTTCCGGGAATGGACACGAACCTCATCCGGGTTGCCGTCTCAGCTTCCAAATTCTTTGGGAAACGGTCGGACTGTTGCCGACGTCAATCCCGGTGACCTCAGTGTGTGTGTGTGTGTGTGTGTGTGTGTGTGTGTGTGTGTGTGTGTACTCACCTAGTTGTACTCACCTAGTTGTGTCTGCAGGATCGAGCAATGACTCTTGCATCCCGCCTTTCGAGCATCGGTTGTTTACAGCAATGACTCCTGTCCCATTTCCCTATCATACCTGGTTTTAAAATTATGAATAGTATTTGCTTCCACAACCTGTTCCTGAAGTGCATTCCATTTTCCCACTACTCTCACGCTAAAAGAAAACTTCCTAACATCTCTGTGACTCATCTGAGTTTCAAGCTTCCATCCATGTCCCCTCGTTCTGTTACTATTCCGTGTGAACATTTCGTCTATGTCCACTCTGTCAATCCCTCTGAGTATCTTATACGTTCCTATCATGTCCCCCCTCTCCCTTTTCTTTCTAGTGTCGTAAGGCACAGTTCCCTCAGGCGCTCCTCATACCCCATCCCTCGTAGCTCTGGGACGAGTCTCGTTGCAAACTTCTGAACCTTTTCCAGTTTCATTATATGCTTCTTCAGATGGGGACTCCATGATGAGGCGGCATACTCTAAGACTGGCCTCACGTAGGCAGTGTTAAGCGCCCTAAATGCCTCCTTACTTAGGTTTCTGAATGATGTTCTAACTTTTGCCAGTGTAGAGTACGCTGCTGTCGTTATCCTATTTATATGTGCCTCAGGAGATAGATTAGGTGTTACGTCCACCCCCAGGTCTCTTTCGCGCGTCGTCACAGGTAGGCTGTTCCCCTTCATTGTGTACTGTCCCTTTGGTCTCCTATCTCCTAGTCCCATTTCCATAACTTTACATTTGCTCGTGTTGAATTCCAGTAGCCATTTCTCTGACCATTTCTGTGTGTGTGTGTGTGTGTGTGTGTGTGTGTGTGTGTGTGTGTGTGTGTGTGTGGGTTTGAATGGGGCCCAAGCTAGTGTACAGTGTACTGGTCAGTACTGGTCGGTGGGGACACCTAGAAGTATCCAATACCTGGTTACACTCGCCAACACTATTTCATTGACCATGCCCCACCCCCACATCCCCATATCACGTGCTGTATATATATATATATATTATTATATATATATATATATATATATATATATATATATATATATATATATATATATATATATATATATATATATATGACCACGAAGGAAAATAAGACAGGACATTCCTTAAATACTTTTGTATTAATCATTACATCTTCAGAAGGATGGATATTACAAGATGATTGATGAAGATTAAGCCACCCCTAAAGGTGGCACGGGCATGAATAACCCGTAAGATATTACAAGTCAGTCGTGGTAATATATAAGCAGCGAGGTGAAATACAACGTCTTCATGAACATAAGAAAAAATTGCAGCTGGCCCATAGGCTGAGACATGTGACTTCCAGGAAGCAAGAATACTAATGAGCTTTTAATGAGATAACTAAGTGTTAATGACCTTACTCAAATAGTCTTTTAATTAATCAATTAAATGGATCGAAATTGTACAAAACATTACTAATGTTAATATTGTATGGTTTGTGAATTGTATTAAAGCAGATGCAATAATGTTTCCATTGAAAATGATTTTTACAATTTGTTTTCGAAGAACTCTCCCAATGAATTTGGTGACAATTTTCTGACGAATGAATGAATAGAGCATTAGATAATTGGTCATTTCTTGCTACAAAATATTTATGTTGTGAAATTCGAAATTTCAAATCTTTGCATGTTTGACCTATATATAATTTATTGCAATCTTTACAAGTTATTTTGTAATACCCCTGTAAAAGATTGTAGTAATACAAGGTATTTTACAATACCTTGTAAAGACTGTAATAAATTCTATATAAGTCAAACATATAGTTGGGCAGCAGTTAGTTGCTTCTGGAATCCTTCCTTATATATATATATAAAAATATATATGAGCGATCTATTGAAGAACGTTATTCAGGACACCGATAATGGTTTCCGATATACACCGATGACATAAAACATTACGAGCGTTTATCCTTTGAAGTCATTACTCTCTTTGACAGAAACATTTTCTTTCCCTGTGTGTAATGATAAGAGAAAATAAATGCGTCTCATACAACACCTTTATAAGTCAATATACACTGTTCTCCTAAGACCAGTGTATGTTAAGTAGTGGACAGATACATTGTGCTATACATCTACTGGTACTACAACCATTGATACAACTTCTACCGCTACCACAACTAGGAAAATTAAAATCATTCCATTAACTACTTCCTTTCTACTACCTCTACTTCTTGGCTTATAATCTTAAGCACCTCGAGAGAAGGAAGGAATTATCAAGGAAAAGTGCCAAGCCATTACGACTATATAGCACCGGGAAGGGGTCAGGATAAGGATTTGGGGATGGGCCGGGGGAAAGGAATGGTGCCCCAACCACTTGGACGGTCAGGGATTGAACGCCGATCTGCATGAAGCGAGACCGTCGCTCTACCGTCCAGCCCAAGTGGTTGGGTGCACCACGAGAGAGTCGTTCTTGGCTGGGGGTGACCTCCCCGGACCAGTGGGTCTCCCTCGCCTCCTCCCGGCGGCAGGACTCACCATGGCAACGTTGATGTAGAGAGGCTTGTTGGGTATGATCCAGGTGACGGTCTCGTGGCAGGCAGGCTCGGTGAGGGAGCCCTCGTAGGTGAGGTAGTGCTCTGTGGACGGCAGCAACCCGCTCACCACCAGCGACGCCGCCGTCACCGACGACCCTGCAGGAGGGACACCTCGTCAGGGGAAGGAGGGGGAGGAGGTTATTGGTGGACAGATCGGGTGTAGGTGAAGGTGAGTCCAGAGGGGTGACTTGAGTAATAGACTCAAGAAACACACTAAGGAACTCTGGCTCAATTCACAGTTCAGAATTGACATTCGACACGTTTTCAGATTTATGCACTAAAATAAATAATGGTAACCAAATATATGTTCGAGAGTGTTTCTGTATCGTGATCCATCAAGTACTAAATAACAAAGGTAGACGATTACAGTTTTATGCACTGGACCACTGAGTGAGTTTCTCTCAGTCCCAATACTCTAGCCACCTCCATCTAAAGCCCACAAGTAATCCAGCTGGGATATTGCCACCGTAGAGCAAGCAGCTGCGGTGTCTAGATGCTGCAACAACCTCTTGCAAGACTCCTCCCCTCACAGCAGTGGCAGCTCTCCATGCGGGTGACTTCCTATTAGCAACCCCCATGTCATTATCTGGCAGCACTGACCCTCGAAATTGCAATGTCTCTTTGTCTTGCTGCCATAATTCACACCGGATATAAATGTATTTGTGGTGAATATGGTGAGCATGACCTGCTCCTCCAGAAAACAGGGTACTGGCACTCAAGGCACAGTGAAGTTAATGGCATTAGTAAGAGGAGTATTACCACGGCTGGGTATCCAGCAGAGACAGAGCCCCATTACCTAAAGTTCTGCAACTCTGCCAATACTGGTGCTATAAAGTCATAACGGTTTGGCACTTTCTCCTGGTAGTGCCTTACCTCAACCAATGCTGCAGGTTGTCTAGATGATATCACAGTGCACCTATGGAAGGAAGGAAGACAGTTGGCGCGGGACTACAGGTGTGCGTCAGGCTTGGCCCACACCTACACTTACATTAGTGATGTACATCAGGATGATACTGCCATCCACAGGGTTTCAGGCAAGTTCCGTGAATACAGAGAACTGGATCTTCAGTACAATTTTGTCCCCATTTATTCATGGAAGCGAGAAGACATCCTAGCGGTGCCAGCCTCCCCTTCCAGCACCCCAGCGTGGCAACATAGAGGGAAAAAGCACTCATGATTTCTGTCAGATGAATCTAATAACCTTGAGGCTCGCGACAGCCTGTGGCAATGAGTTTTATACCGTCTGTGTAACCAGTGTTGAGTAATAAAGTTGAAGAAGAAGGGGGTGCTAGGAGTAGATGACCTACGAGAACACGTCACAGCCCCACAAGGCCTCCCCGTGTGCACCGTACCCACTTCTTCGAGGCTAAGGGACCTGACAAACACTGGTCGGGTGTTAGAGGGTGGGTATGGGTGGAGAGGAGGAAGGCAGCAAATAATGTGATGGATGTGACAATGAGGCCGTGTTACAGTGTGGCCTGAGATGGCCAGTGACTCCACGACACACTGATGTAGTGTGTTGGTGGTGAAGAGCAGGGGAGGAGGGGCTGACAGTAGAGGTGAACAGTGTGATGGTGAGAGTAGAGGTGAACAGTGTGATGGTGAGAGTAGAGGTGAACAATGTGATGGTGAGAGTAGAGGTGAACAGTGTGATGGTGAGAGTAGAGGTGAACAGTGTGATGGTGAGAGTAGAGGTGAACAGTGTGATGGTGAGAGTAGAGGTGAACAATGTGATGGTGAGAGTAGAGGTGAACAGTGTGATGGTGAGAGTAGAGGTGAACAGTGTGATGGTGAGAGTAGAGGTAAAAATGAGGTTTTGTGCGGAGGTGTAGAAGAGAGTTGACCGAAAATATTAGACTGAAGGTGACGGGTGAGGGGGGTGAGGTTGAGGGTGAGGTTGAAGGTGAGGGATGAAGGTGAAGGTGAGGGGTGAGGGTGAGGGGTGAGGGTGAAGGTGAGGGGTGAGGGTGAAGGTGAGGGGTGAGGGTGAGGGTGAAAGTGAGCAGGAAAGTGAGAGGTGGAGGCTTGCGGTCCACACTGGCTGAGCCTGACGGTGAGAAATGGTAATTTTTCTGTCATGTGAGAAGATTTTCTTGTAAATTAGGAAAGAAAAATTAATGCTTTCTGAGAGTGAGAGACACAGCAGTTCTCCTCACCTGGGAGTGAGAGAAACAGCAGTTCTCCTCACCTGGGAGTGAGAGAAACAGCAGTTCTCCTCACTTGGGAGTGAGAGACACAGCAGTTCTCCTCACTTGGGAGTGAGAGACACAGCAGTTCTCCTCACCTGGGAGTGAGAGACACAGCAGTCCTCCTCACCTGGGAGTGAGAGAAACAGCAGTTCTCCTCACCTGGGAGTGAGAGAAACAGCAGTCCTCCTCACCTGGGAGTGAGACACAGCAGTTCTCCTCACCTGGGAGTGAGAGAAACAGCAGTCCTCCTCACCTGGGAGTGAGAGACACAGCAGTTCTCCTCACCTGGGAGTGAGAGACACAGCAGTTCTCCTCACCTGGGAGTGAGAGAAACAGCAGTCCTCCTCACCTGGGAGTGAGAGAAACAGCAGTTCTCCTCACCTGGGAGTGAGAGAAACAGCAGTTCTCCTCACCTGGGAGTGAGAGAAACAGCAGTCCTCCTCACCTGGGAGTGAGAGACACAGCAGTTCTCCTCACATGGGAGTGAGAGACACAGCAGTCCTCCTCACCTGGGAGTGAGAGAAACAGCAGTTCTCCTCACCTGGGAGTGAGAGAAACAGCAGTTCTCCTCACCTGGGAGTGAGAGAAACAGCAGTTCTCCTCACCTGGGAGTGAGAGAAACAGCAGTTCTCCTCACCTGGGAGTGAGAGAAACAGCAGTCCTCCTCACCTGGGAGTGAGAGACACAGCAGTTCTCCTCATCTGGGAGTGAGAGAAACAGCAGTTCTCCTCACCTGGGAGTGAGAGAAACAGCAGTTCTCCTCACCTGGGAGTGAGAGAAACAGCAGTTCTCCTCACCTGGGAGTGAGAGAAACAGCAGTTCTCCTCACCTGGGAGTGAGAGAAACAGCAGTTCTCCTCACCTGGGAGTGAGAGAAACACACCTAAAACTTGTGTCTGTATTGTCTGAGGGGTTACATATATAGACAATCTGGAGCCCAGATTATGTTAATACGCTCACAGTGTAGGGCCATGAAACTCATGATGAAACACAAAGGAATTTCTGAAGAAAAACAGATTGTGTGTTTGTGTGTTTACTAGTTGTGTTTTTGCGGGGGTTGAGCTTTGCTCTTTCGGCCCGCCTCTCAACTGTCAATCAACTGTTTACTAACTACTTTTTTTTTTTCCACACCACACACACACACCCCAGGAAGCAGCCCGTGACAGCTGACTAACTCCCAGGTACCTATTTACTGCTAGGTAACAGGGGCACTTAGGGTGAAAGAAACTTTGCCCATTTTTTTCTGCCTCGTGCGGGAATCGAACCCGCGCCACAGAATTACGAGTCCTGCGCGCTATCTACCAGGCTACGAGGCCCCCCAGGCCCCCCAGGTGTGTGTGTGTGTGTGTGTGTGTGTGTGTGTGTGTGTGTGTATGCGCGCTCACCTAGTTGTGCTTGCTCGGGGGTTGAGCTTGGGGGGGGTGGGTTGTTTGAGGTCAGGGGAGGTCAACGGGGTCATCAGTTACTGACAGTTTGTTGTGACTGACAACTTTTGCAGCTCCAGCCATGGTGTCACTAAACATTTTCCGAGACTACCATATCCCACGGTCAAGTTGTGGTAGCCACAGGGGCCACACCTGCCACAGGGGCCACACCTGCCACAGGGGCCACACCTGCCACCAGCCACAGGGACCACCACAGCCACCTGCCACAAGGCCCACCACAGCCACCAGCCACAAGGCCCACCACAGCCACCAGCCACAAGGCCCACCACAGCCACCAGCCACAAGGCCCACCACAGCCACCAGCCACAAGGCCCACCACAGGACCTCCGAGTGAAGGACTCACCGCCGTAGGTGATGGTGTCAAGGCCCTCCAGCAGGACCCGCAGCTCCGGGGACATCCTCTCACCGACCTGTGGGAGAGACAGCATTAGTCACGCGCCAAGTGCCCTCCTCGTCAGTCCTCTCACCAGACCACACAGCTCCCTGGCTACCCTGGAGCGAGCCCGCGACGCCCGCACACGCCCACGGCCGCCCACACACGCCCGCGGCCACCCACACACGCCCGCGACGCCCCGCCAGGAACTTCAGTAATCCGTATATAATCAGCGCTTTTCTAGTTGTTACGTGAGGAAGTTATCATTTATAATTTACCACTAACACCAGGTGAGGCCAGGTTACAGCGGACACCTGCCTACTGTGGTTAGTCATCTCTCCTCATTTCACGCGAAGGACACAAGTACTTATTGTCCCTCCAACCAATCACGGTTCAGGAGTCTGCTTCTTCCCTCGACGTCACACAACCACACAACCAATCACAGTTCAGGAACCTGCTTCTTCCCACGACGTCATACAACCTCACAACCAATCACGGTTCAGGAGCCAGCTTCTTCCCTCGACGTCATACAACCACACAACCAATCACAGTTCAGGAGCCAGCTTCTTCCCTCGACTTCACACAACCTCACAACCAATCACAGTTCAGGAGCCAGCTTCTTCCCTCGACGTCATACAACCACACAACCAATCACAGTTCAGGAACCTGCTTCTTCCCTCGACGTCACACAACCCCACAACCAATCACAGTTCAGGAGCCTGCTTCTTCCCTCGACGTCATACAACCACACAACCAATCACAGTTCAGGAGCCAGCTTCTTCCCTCGACGTCACACAACCTCACAACCAATCACAGTTCAGGAGCCAGCTTCTTCCCTCGACGTCATACAACCACACAACCAATCACAGTTCAGGAACCTGCTTCTTCCCTCGACGTCACACAACCCCACAACCAATCACAGTTCAGGAGCCTGCTTCTTCCCTCGACGTCATACAACCACACAACCAATCACAGTTCAGGCGCCAACCTGTTCCCTCGACGTCACACACTCAAGCAGCCAATCAAAATGCCACATCTATCATAATGACATAAGAATCTTAAACGCCCAACTGCTGCTCTTGACGTCACACTGCCTGACATCCGCCAACAATATACAGTTTCTTATCGACGGTGACGGCCCCCATACCGGGCGGAGAAAGGGGGGCCCCCTGTAGGAAGGAGACGGAGGGTCCCCTGTAGGAAGGAGACGGAGGGCCCCCTGTAGGAAGGAGACGGAGGGCCCCCTGTAGGAAGGAGACGGAGGGCCCCCTGTAGGAAGGAGACGGAGGGCCCCCTGTAGGAAGGAGACGGAGGGCCCCCTGTAGGAAGGAGACGGAGGGCCCCCTCTAGAAAGGAGACAGAGGGCCCCCACTTTAGGAAGGAGAGAGAGGGCCCTTTTTTAGGAAGGAGACAGAGGGCCCCCACTTTAGGAAGGAGACAGAGGGCCCCCACAGACTTCCTATGCGCCGTTTACCGAGTCAGAAATATCAGGAGGATTATGAATGCCATCACAGTATTGGGGCGGAGCGCGCGGGAAGGCAATATCCTGACCCGGGGCGGCGGGGTGTCTCTCTCTCTCCCTCTCTCTCTTGCCCTTCTCCAGTGCATAAAAGATGAGGCTGGTGTCGCCTTGCCCATTGTACCGGGGGGGAGCAACGACCTTTATCAGCCAGTGAACTGGGCTACTTGTTCCTGCAAGAGCTTTAGCTCCTGGATCCCCACCTTTCAGCCACCCGCCACAGGGGCCTGTTACTCCCTCGGCAATCTACTGCACGAATTTTCGATCGTTTTGCGTTGTTTCGAACTGTGGCGTTGATAATGTTGTTGTTGTTTAAGATTCGCTACTCTAGAACAATACGTTCCAGTAGCACGGGCTATGGTGAGCCCGTAACGTTGATAATGGGTTGAGTTGGCTTTAACTACGTCCCCTGCCTCTCAACTCACCTGTTGTTAATCAACTCACCTGGGGGTAATCAACTCACCTGTTGTTAATCAATTCACCTGGTGGTAATCAACTCACCTGGTGGTAATCAACTCACCTGGTGTTAATTAACTCACCTGGTGGTAATCAACTCACCTGGTGTTAATCAACTCACCTGGGGGTAATCAACTCACCTGTTGTTAATCAATTCACCTGGTGGTAATCAACTCACCTGGTGTTAATTAACTCACCTGGTGGTAATCAACTCACCTGGTGTTAATTAACTCACCTGGTGGTAATCAACTCACCTGTTGTTAATCAACTCACCTGGTGGTAATTAACTCACCTGGTGGTAATCAACTCACCTGTTGTTAATCAACTCATCTGTTGTTAATCAACTCACCTGTTGTTAATCAACTCACCTGGTGTTAATCAACTCACCTGTTGTTAATCAACTCATCTGTTGTTAATCAACTCACCTGTTGTTAATCAACTCACTTGGTGTCAATCAACTCACCTGCTGTCAATCAACTCACCTGTTGTTAATCAACTCACCTGTTGTTAATCAACTCATCTGTTGTTAATCAACTCACCTGCTGTCAATCAACTCACCTGTTGTTAATCAACTCACCTGTTGTTAATCAACTCACTTGGTGTCAATCAACTCACCTGCTGTCAATCAACTCACTTGGTGTCAATCAACTCACCTGCTGTCAATCAACTCACTTGGTGTCAATCAACTCACCTGCTGTCAATCAACTCACCTGGTGTTAATCAACTCACCTGGTGTTAATTAACTCACCTGGTGGTAATCAACTCACCTGGTGTTAATTAACTCACCTGGTGGTAATCAACTCACCTGTATTAGGAGAGCGATCCCCACCACACCGTACACCTGGGCTGAGGCCTGGCTGAAGTTACGATAGAGCTGCGAGTTGTAGCCGTAGAGCTGAAGCTGTGGGGGGAGAAGGGGGGGGTGAGGTTATTGTAGGTGCGTAATTACCTAAGTGTTGTTACCTAGGCGTAGTTACAGGATGGGAGCTACGCTCGTGGTGTCCCGTCTTCCCAGTACTCTTTGTTGTATAACGCTTTGAAACTACTGACGGTCTTGGCCTCCACCACCTTCTCACCTAACTTGTTCCAACCGTCTATCACTCTGATTGTGAAAGTGAATTTTTGTATATTTCTTTGGCAACTTTGTGTGTGTGAGAGAGAGAGAGAGAGAGAGAGAGAGAGAGAGAGAGAGAGAGAGAGAGAGAGAGAGAGAGAGAGAGAGAGAGAGAGAGAGAGAGAGAGAGAGAGAGTGAGAGGGAGAGAGAGAGAGAGAGAGAGAGACAGACCATTCCTGCCCCCCGTTCCATCTCAAATCCTTATCCTGACCCCTTCCCATCGCTATATAGTCGTAATGACTTGGCGCTTTCCCCCCATGATAGTTCCCTTCCCTACTCCCCAAACGAACTAAGACATTCTCATCAAACATAAACACACACACACACACACACACACACACACACACACACACACACACACACACACACGGTTGAGAGGCAGGACCAAAGAGCCACAGCTCAACCCTCCCCCCCCCTGCAAGTACAACTAGGTGAGTACACCCCCCCCCCCCCCGCGCACAAACACAAACAAAAACCTTCACCACAGACGCACAATGCCCCAACACCAGCCCAACAATACACCACCGGCACCCAGCCTCCACAAGGACAAGAAGAGACTAGACAAACAGAATACATGCATGGGAATGGCCCGTTGGCTCAGAGGCACTGCAGATGGCAGCACCCGTCGTGGCGCAGAGCGACGCAGGGCGATGTAGAGCGACGCAGAGCCATGCAGAGCGACACAGGGCGATATAGAGCCATGCAGAGCGACACAGAGCCATGCAGAGCGACACAGGGCGATATAGAGCGACGCAGAGCGACACAGAGCCATGCAGAGCGACGCAGAGCGATGCGCACCATGTTCTTTGAACACCAAGGAGACCCAAATCGCTTTTACCTTTTGCCTAAGACAAACTTAAGAGCTCTAATCCACAAGCGCTCGTCTTGAATTATCAACAAGAGTAGTAAAGGTAGTTTTTAAAACAATATTTGTTATGGCGAAGAAATAGTTGATGTGAGTGGACGATATCACATATATGTTATCTAGGGTGTAGAGCAAGTGTTATGTAGGGATGTGGAGCTGGTGTTATCTAGGGTGGGGAGCACGTGTTATCTAGGGTCATTTAGATATCACAGCTCAAGGATACTGTACCTTCAATACTACACTGCCAGCTCTGACTTACGCCGCCACCACCTGCTATCTTCTACCCACCAGGTAATTCCCCCAATTGACGGTGAAGCAGGATACCGTCAATTAGCCATAAACCCCGAAAATGGATCCCCAGTTATCAGGAAAGGAGGGATAAGATTTACGTTAAGTGTGGAAATTAAATCAAAGTACAAAGGGATTATCTGAGGTATTAAATAACTGCTTGCAGGCTTGTAGAGGTGGTAGTCCCAAACATGAGGCTTGAGCCCTGCAAGAACGTAAAATAAACGTTGGGGGAAATTCAACTAAACGCCTTAAATTCTAAACAAAATTTATGAAATCAAAGATTATCAAAGAAAATAAAAAAATAAGCCACCCTATCTGAACACTTCCTGACTGAATATTTTCCTAACTGAGGCAATTGGTAATTGACTACAAGAAATAATGTGGATTCTAGACTGTAATAACTCAGATTGATTGATGAAGATTAAGCCACCCAAAAGGTGGCACGGGCATGAATAGCCCGTAAGTGGTGGCCCTTTTGAGCCATTACCAGTATCAAGAGCTGATACTGGAGATGAGTGGAGGTGCGACTGCACCCTGCGTGACGGGAGATGTCTCCCGTGATAACTCAGACTAAACAATAACCTTAAGTACCACAGCCAGGCCTAGATGTTCAGCCCTGCCTCTGGAGAGATGTTGACCCCAAGACGTCTCAACCCACACTGACCTCGTGTAAGGCTGACCCCCCTAGCTCAGTTGCCAAATTAATCTTTGAAGGAGATTACTAACTTAAAATCCTGTATTCGTCACTAAAGGTGATTTATTATTCCAAAATAATTGGGAATTATCTAGATCATGGATCCAGGTTAATTACAATATTGAATAGCACTTGCATTTCACTAATTTACATGAATTAATAAGCAAGACTGGGAGGTACTTATTTACCAAGTACGAGATATTTCTTACATATATTCATATTCTTACTGACGTCAAATGCTTCTTTTATAACACACGAGACTCATTCTTTATTCTCAATTGACGTTAATTTGAACATAAGTACTTAACCCATGCTTGATTATTCCTACTAATTCTTTAATACCTGAATTATTCTCCTAGTTTGATGCCTCGACACAGGATCCGAGTGGCGCTGCAGTTTTCTACACATGAGTTCCAATTCCTTGGGGAAGGGCTGACCCAAGCCTCCCAGTCAGGCCTCTACCAACCAACTCCAGATTTCTATAAAAGATGTATCCTCCTTTCTAGTGAGCGTTTCATGTTAGATGTATGGTCTTACTATCTTAATAGTTCTGCTGTTACACTGGTGTTATCTAGGGTGGGGAGCTGGTGTTATCTAGGGTGTGGAGCAGGTGTTATCTAGGGTAGGGAGCTGGTGTTATCTAGGGTGGGGAGCTGGTGTTATCTAGGGTGGGGAGCTGGTGTTATCTAGGGTGTGGAGCAGGTGTTATCTAGGGTGGGGAGCTGGTGTTATCTAGGGTGTGGAGCTGGTGTTATCTAGGGTGGGGAGTAGGTGTTATCTAGGGTAGGGAGCTTGTGTTATCTAGGGTGGGGAGCTGGTGTTATCTAGGGTGGGGAGCTGGTGTTATCTAGGGTAGGGAGCTGGTGTTATCTAGGGTGGGGAGCTGGTGTTATCTAGGGTAGGGAGCTGGTGTTATCTAGGGTGGGGAGCTGGTGTTATCTAGGGTGGGGAGCTGGTGTTATCTAGGGTGGGGAGCTGGTGTTATCTAGGGTGGGGAGCTGGTGTTATCTAGGGTGGGGAGCTGGTGTTATCTAGGGTGGGGAGCTGGTGTTATCTAGGGTGGGGAGCTGGTGTTATCTAGGGTGGGGAGCTGGTGTTATCTAGGGTGGGGAGCTGGTGTTATCTAGGGTGAGGAGCTGGGGTTATCTAGGGTGGGGAGCTGGTGTTATCTAGGGTGGGGAGCTGGTGTTATCTAGGGTGGGGAGCTGGTGTTATCTAGGGTGGGGAGCTGGTGTTATCTAGGGTGGGGAACTGGTGTTATCTAGGGTGGGGAGCTGGTGTTATCTAAGGTGAGGAGCAGGTGTTATCTAGGGTGGGGAGCTGGTGTTATCTAAGGTGGGGAGCAGGTGTTATCTAGGGTGTGGTGCAGGTGTTATCTAAGGAAGGGCAAGGAGCTGGTGTTATCTAGGGGAGGGTGTGGGTGTGGGTAGGTGGGGGGGGGGGTGGAGGGTGTTCAGGGTTCTCCCAGAGGCTAGATTAGCTGTAGAGTTTATATATGTGTATTTAGAGTCTATTTCGTAAAGGGATTCGGACTTCAATTACCCAGTTCCCAGCTGAATGATATATGTCTCCACTCCCACAGTCTCTCTCCCACAGTCTCTCCCACTCACCTCCCACTCACCCCCCACGCCAAGCTGGCCCTCATTATAAACCCTAATTTGCATACAGATAACTTTCATCTCGTTAGAGTCACCTTCATCAGTAGGCAGCAAGGTCATTTTCACCTTCATGTCATGTTCCACATTCCTCATTTTCACGGCATGATTTTAGTGTTGCTCAATGTCACTCTTTGATTGATATATAGTTTGGGCTCTTGTGAGGTCATGTCATATTCATAGTCACCTTCACCGCCAGGACACTTTCAACATGTCACATTCACCGTCGCTCTCAATTCAGAGCTTGGGCCTCGCGGACAAAGGGCCCTGACGGCTGAGTGGACAGCGCGCGGGATTCGTAGTCCTGAGATTCCGGGTTCGATCCCCGGTGGAGGCGGAAACAAATGGGCAGAGTTTCTTTCTCCCCTGATGGCCTCCCCTGTTCACCTAGCAGTAAATAGGTACCTGGGAGTTAGACAGCTGCTACGGGCTGCTTCCTGGGGGGTGTGTGTAACAAAAAAGGAGACCTGGTTGAGGACCGGGCCGCGGAGACGCTAAGCCCCGAAATCACCTCAAGATAAACTAATGATACTGTGTGGTCTTAGTCCCAGATCTTAAAGTCTCTCCCCCCCCCGGCAGCCTTGCCCAGAAATGGGATTCCATTTTCTGTGGACATATCAGTTTGGGGTTGTTTTTCAGAAACAACTGTTTTCGACTTGTTGCTAGGGGGGGGGGGGTGTAAATTGTTATCGTGCTGTTGTTGTTGTTAACGGGGCTCGACTCTCACCACGTTCAGTACACGTCACGATTGTTTCACTGGAGGTAACTTTCATCGCGTGAACATTACACTCACGTGTGTGTGTGTGCGTGTGTGTGTGTGTGTGTGTGTGTGTGTGTGTGTGTGTGTGTGTGTGTGTGTGTGTGTGTGTGTGTGTGTGTGTAATTACCTAAGTAATTACTGTGTGTGTGTGTGTGTGTATGTGTAATTACCTAAGTAATTACTGTGTGTGTGTGTGTGTGTGTGTGTGTGTAATTACCTAAGTAATTACTGTGTGTGTGTGTGTGTAATTACCTAAGTAATTACTGTGTGTGTGTGTGTGTGTAATTACCTAAGTAATTACTGTGTGTGTGTGTGTGTGTAATTACCTAAGTAATTACTGTGTGTGTGTGTGTGTGTGTGTGTGTGTGTGTGTGTGTGTGTGTGTGTGTGTGTGTGTGTGTGTTGGTGTGTGTGTGGTGTGTGTGTGTGTGTGTGTACTCACCTATTTGTACTCACCTATTTGTGCTTGCGGGGGTTGAGCTTTGGCTCTTTGGTCCCGCCTCTCAACTGTCAATCAACTG